GCATCGATATGCTCTTAAAAGAGAGGTATACTGTTACTGCTTCATATTTTACATATATATATATATACATATATATATATATATATATATATATATATATATATATATAGATATATAATAAAATAGATTAGAAAAAAGGACAGATGAAACTAACATATTGAAACTAAAAGTTGTTTCTTCCATCATATGTTTTGGTTTATATAATAGCTCGAGGAAAGAAGGAAGGATTGAAAGGTAACTAACTTATTGATATTATCATACCTGAAAGTTATTTATTTTTATAAAAATGTTGTAAGTTTACCTTTTATAACTCTGTTGATTCTGCTTAGATAAGGAACCTGGGACACCCAAAGATCTGAAGAAGGATGCAAAATTAGAAAAAGAGAAAGTGCCTGAATCTGATGAGTCAGCATCAAAACTAAAAGAAATGGCAAAAGATAAAGTCAAAGAACCTGAAAACGTAGGAGTTCATATTAATGCAGTAGATATAGAGAAGACAAATGTGGTTGAGACACCTGGCGAAGGGAATAACTCTGTAGAAAAGAAAACTGGTAGTGGAAAAAAGAAAATTATCAGAAAAGTTATAAAAAAGAAGGTTGTTAAAAAAGATAAAGCAGGAGACACAACCAAACAAACTGATACATTATTAGATTCCAAGAATGTGGGAGAGACTTCTACAGAGACAGAGACTGCAGGTCAAAGTCAAAGTCAAAGATAAGGTCAAGGTCAAGAGTCAACTGGTAATACTCCTACTGTGAAAACTCTTACAAAAAAGAAAGTTATAAAAAAGGTTCATGTGGTGAAATCTGTTAAGAAAGAAGATGTAGGGACACAATCTGAAGTGACACCTGTCAAAGAGAAAGAGAGTTCTGAAATCAAGCCAAAGAGTGCAGATACAGAAAGTCTTACAAGTGTGAAAAAAACTGTAAAAAAGAAAATAATAAAAAGGGTTGTGAAAAAAAAAGGTTGTTGCTAAAGATAAAGTGGTAGATAAATCAAAAGTAACTATTGTGGGAACAAAGTGTTGCCCCTGAGCAGAAAAAAGATGAAAAGAAAGGTAAAATGGGTTCCAAAACGAAGGGTATTATTGTCCAGTCTGACAGTAATGAAAAATTGGAAACTGAGGAGAAGTTAAAGGAGGAGAAAGTGAAAAAAGAGAAGGATGTTAAAGGTGAAACAAAGGGTAAAGAAGTAAAAGATAGTAAAAAGGATGAAGAGGTTCCTAGACACCCTGGGTTGTTTCTCTAAACAAAAGGGTGACAATCCCTTCATAATGTTTTAGCAGCTAGGTCAAAATTGTTTATTATATCTAAAAAGACCTAGTAAATCCATTGTAAGTTGAAGATTTTCGATCATATTCATACCCACTACTCTTTCATCATTTCTTTCAAATTCCCACCTTACAATTACGATTTTTAGTGAAAAAATCACGTCTTTGAAAGCTTTTATGGGTACTTCGGTTTGATTTGTACAAGAGCTTTCTCTAATTCTGGTGATTTGCAGTTGTACACCAACTATTTGTTTAAATGTCTACACACCGATTGAAATCATGCATCATTTATCTGAATTATTCTTGTTGCATGGTTTGTTATTTAGGTTACCACACTTTCTAATGTTGAAGAAAAAAAGAGATTTGAATTTCTGGAAGCAGTGAGCGGTATGATGGATGCCCATCTTCGTTACCTCAAATAGGTAGACAATTCAATTCGATCGCAGTGTGTGTTTGTGGAGCTTTCTAAAATCTAAATCTGAATTATTCTTGTTGTAGGGATATGAGCTTTTGCATCAGATGGAGTCGTATATAAATCAGGTTTGGTATTTATTTTAGTTTAGAGATTAGACATATAGAAAAGAAAAGAAGAATGCATGTTGTGTTTTATTTTAATTTTAATATAAAAAAACTGGGCAGGTGTTGACATATGGTCAACAATCTCAAGAGAGATCAAATTATGAGCAAGCAGCTCTGAACGAAAGAATGCAAGAGTACAAAAGACAAATTGATCGGGAGAGCAGGTGATCATGCAGTCTGCTTCAAAGGGCAAGGTTCAAACCATTCGCCAAGGATATCTTTCCAAGTGCTCCTCAAACCATCTGTAACTCAACTTCCTTTACTTTACTTTAGTCTTTACTTATTAAATACTATATTTTTATTTTCGACAACAGGGCTCTGGCAGTCAAATATCTGGTCAGAGGAATAGCTCTGAACTCGGTCATGGCCTGCTGAGTCGTTGGCTTTCTTCTCATCATCACCATGGTGGAGGCGGAGTACATGATGAGAAATCTGTTGCTCATCACACTGTTAACCTCTTGACTTCAACTTTGAAGCAGACATGAACTACATTTACATGCAAGATTTTTAATTCTTCTCTAACCCTTGCTAAGGCAATGCTGTTGCAAGACCGGGCCCAGGGGTAGTGATTCAATCTCAATCTCATCAATGGCAGCCGCAGCAGGCACCAGTGAAGTGCAAGGACTTGGCATGGAGGAATTCCATGGGTGCACCCTCCTCCATCTTGCTTGTGAAACTGTAGATATTTGGATGATTGAGCTGCTCTTACAGTATGGGGTAGCTGCGCTTTCTGGAAATAGAAACTTTGAATTGCGTGTTCACCCACTAACAAGAGACAATTACTTGGCTTCACTTCCCTTGGTTGTAGCTTACGCACTTATCGGCACGGTATGTGTAAAATTACTCTTCTACCCTCAAAGAAACACACAACACAAATTCATATCATGTTTTGCATGTTGTGTGTTTTAGGTCGAAATCGACTTCGAAAACGAACCAACGGGAGCACAAAGGACGTAAAGAATGCCTACTTTAGAGACGTTTTGCCAAGCACCGAAGAAATCGCACATGTATATATATATATATATATATATATATATTATATATATATATATATATATATATATATATATTAGCTTACAAACTGTAGAATGTGTTTAGTAGTGAATCTCATAGGGACAAAATGGTAAATTTGCAGGTGGTTCAATCAATGTCATTTATTAATATTTGGAATTACAGCCTCTCTATGTTTGACTAAAACCTTCTGATTTTGTTGAGTTTTTAACTTTGTTTTTGGTTTCATTTAGTAATAAAGTATCAAATATCAACAGTTATGTGGTAGTAATCCTTCTGAGGGGGTGTTTGTTGGGCTGCTTCTTTCAATGTCATTAACAACAGTGGTAAGTAAAATCTTACTATTATGAAACTCTTTTGCTTAAACCTACCTTATTGACCTGTAGGTGATTACACATTAATTTAATTATGCAGGTTTTGAAGTTTTTGATGCAAAAGAATAGTGTTAATGCTCTTCATAGAAAAGTATCACATCCAATTGGAAGTAAATATAAGCATATCTTGCAGGGGTAAAATGGTAATTTGTGTAATTTTATAACCAAACACAAATTACCAGGCAAATACATAAGAACAGGAGAATCTTTTAGAGGCCTGTTACAGGCAACAGGGCAAAACCATGTTGAGATCATGTTTGGAGATGATCATCTCCAAACATGATCTCAACATGGTTTTGCCCTGTTGCCTGTAACAGGCCTCTAAAAGATTCTCCTGTTCTTATGTATTTTCCTGGTAATTTGTGTTTGGTTATAAAATTACACAAATTACCATTTTACCCCTGCAAGATATGCTTATATTTACTTCCTAATTGGATGTGATACTTTGTGTAGGTTTGGAAGGAACTGGAACTGCCTTGTTGTACATGAGAAAACTCTTGGAAAGTGAGTTGAATTTGGCTAAGTAATTATTGAGTGAGATGGGCCATGTACAACTGCTTATCCATATAATCAGCTGTTTGGAGCATTAGTCTTAAAAAATTATGAAAGGCAAGATGAAACTTTACTTAGTTGGAATTTGATGTACATAGTAGATTAGATGCAAATTTATATATTGTAAGAAACATAATTGTATAACATTAAATTTATGCAATGGATTCTATTTTTTGTATATCATATTTTTTTTTCTATTATGAAACATTAAATACAAATTTAATTTGAAAATAAGTAAATCTATAAATAATATTTTTTTTAAACATTTAAAATTATGATACGCAAAAATGTGTGTCATCTTCATTTATGACATGACCTTTCTTGACAGGGGCTTTCTTGATACACATTGCGTGTCATTAACACGCACGTCGTAAGGTTACGACACGCAAATGCATGTCGTCTTCCTTTATGACAGGGCCTTCCTTGATACGCATTGCGTGTCGTAAATGAGCGTCGTCTCTCTTTATGACAGGGCCTTCCTTGACGCGCATTTGCGCATCGTCTGAGCCTTTTACGACGCGCAATGAGCATCGTAAAAGGCTGTTTTTCTAGTAGTGAGGTCTCACAGCAAAAGTTAAAAGATAACACCAACCATAGTATTAAAAAGAATTACAATGTACAATGCATTTGAATAACTTTTTAAAACAAATTACAATGTATTTGAAAGACAACACATGCAAATGCTCCTATAAGTGTTGTGTCTCTACATGCCTCTTACTAGATGATTCCTGAAAAAGCATGTAAAACAGCGTCAACTATAAAAATAGTTGGTGAGTTCACAGGTTAAAAATAATATTGGTTTCATAAATCATAATCAAAGTTTTGATAAAAGTTTCCATAAATAAAAGTACATTGCTAAATGAGTAAATGTCACACCCCAAAACCAAGAACGGCGGAAACGTTCTGGGGCGGAGGACGTCATGTAAAGTATCACAACACAGTAAATGTAAATAAGAAAACAACATCATCCATTGCATTCAATATATAATTTTAATACAAGCGTGTTCTGTACAGTATAGACACCAAAAATAATGTATATCAAAATAAAAAGATGAGTCTTAGATGCGCTCCATCTTCTCAAAAGCTGGCCTCGGTACCTGTCTACTGATGACCTGAGAATACAAGTTATTTTGAAAGAGTTTATCGGCATTAAGCTGGTAAGTTCATAAGTATTTTAGTGTCGGTATTTGTCATCCAGATATGTTTGAACATGTATCAAGTATAAGTTTGTAAAATGTGTGTAAAGGTTTGTAATTGTTTGTAAAAGTTTGAATCTCTCAGAAAAACCTATATTTTCTATTAAAGTAACCTTCTACCAAGGCTTAACTGTTTTGTATGCTCGTTTGATGTAAAAGTGTGCAATTTCCCAAGTGTAACTATCATTTAACAAAATATAGTTTGTACATTAACGTTTAAGTGAGGTTATCACTAAAAGATGTAATGGGTAAATCATTGTAGTACTGTAGTTTTGTATTATAAGAACCACTGTTGTACTAACTACCGTAAACCGGGTTTATATTAAGGTATCATGTGATAAATTGCACCATACTATCGATTGGTAACAACGACAACGTATAGTCGAAAATAAGGTATGACGTTTGGCACCCGCAGACCTGTCGGTCCCGCTGTAGCTAGCAGCGAGGTGTAGGATAGTCAATCCAGTATATATCTATATGCAAATTCATGCTCTCCCTTCAAGAGACTCTGGCTACAACTCGAGGTCATGACAATTAAGGCATGCTCCCATAGAATGGATCACAATTGTTAACGTATTCGTGTATATGTAATATAATGTTACTTGTTCTAGTATCATTGTATACGTTCTCTTAGTAATAAGTATTGACTCATGAATGAACTGACTCGTTGATCTAGAAATTGTAGTAGTATGATCCTGTGTTACCCTGATGGTAACTTACTAATGATGTGTTGATAAGTATGAATATGGAAGTACTTTTATGTCTATATATGTATAGTTGATATATAATTAATATTGAAATGACCTTCGGATGGTTACCCGAAATCCCACCAGACCACATCACAACGCGCGAAAAGGAAATAAGGTGGATAGCCTTCCTAAGCCCTTTAAACATTTCTTATATATTTATACATATATGGGCATGCAATTTATAAGAAGTAAAACTAAGTTTAATAAAAGCATTTGATAAGTAGAAGAGTTTGTAATACATTTTGAAGTGAAACGGTTTGATAAACAGTTTGAACAGTGATAAAATCATTGGTTTTCTAGTTATTAATCACATGTGATTGATGTAATAACTGTAAGTTTTTAACTTGTATCCCCCCCATAAAGTATTTAAAACATTTAAAAGCATTTCAAAGGTTGATTAAAGGGGTATGAACTCACTTGTGGTGAGTAGATTGGATTGATGTATCGGGTACTGTGCTAGGTGGCAAACGGAGACTTGTTCGCAAGCACGAGCCTAGTTATCATATAATGAGCATATATATAACTAATTAGCCAAATAATAACTTAACAAAATAAGTTGAGACACTTAGGAACATGTAAACACTTTATATAAGTGTTATAGGTCCTAATGGTTACATCTAAGTTGATACGGAACAAGGCAAAAGGGGTTTAATGCACCAATGACCTTGTATATGAGTTCGCCACCCAACAAACCCCACCCTTTGGAGTTTACGGCCGTGAACCCATGAGTTTACGGCCGTGAACTCCTCACTTGGTGGTTTTGGGTGTTTTGAAGTGTTATATTGATCCTAGAATAAGCCTAGCCTTGTTGGAATAATCCTTGAAGTAGTTTAAGGCCTTGGAATGCTCCTTTGGGGAGCTTACAGCCAAAGGACCATATCCCCTAGAGTTTACGGCCGTAAACTCCTATGTGGTGTTGGTTTTAATTCATTTAAGGCACTTGCACATGTAGGATAACTTCCATGTTTTTGCTTAAGGCTAAAGGGGACATTTGGCACACATTTAAGCCTTTACTTAGAGTTTACGGCCCAAGAGATGTTCCTTGGCCGTAAACTCCCTTTAAGGGGTGATTTTGATGTCATTTTCTCCTCATTCAAGTTACAAGTATACAAGGTTAATTGTCTTAAGGCTTTAAGGGTGTTTAGGGCACACTTTGCCATTGAAAAAGGGGTTTACAGCCCAAGATCTTTCCTTGGCTGTAAACTCCTAAAACCATATGATTTTGAAGTGTTTTGGTGTCCAAATTAATTACAAGCATTAGAGGGTAAAGGTCCTTAAGCTTTAGGGGTGATTTAGGGCACTTATAGCCCTTAAAAAAGGGTTTACGGATCAAGAGATATCCTTGGCCGTAAACTCCTATAACTAGGGTTTCTTGATTGATTTCTAGCCTCAAATGTTTATACATTAAGTCCTTAACTAGTTGTCTAACAAGGAATCGGGACTAGGAAGCCTTTTGGCTTCGTTTTGGAGTTTACACCCCCAAGAATGTTCTTGGGCCGTAAGCTCCCAGATCTTGTATTTTAGGCGTGTAAACAATGTTATAAATCATATAACAAGCATTAAAACACATTTAGGAAAGTAGACTCACAATCCGGGATGAAAACCCGAAGATCCGTCAGAGAGAAAATGGCTTTTCTCTAGTTGGAATTGTGAATAATGAATTAATTAAATTCAGAAATCTATTTATAGTCCTGAAATATTTTGACAGAAAATATTTTTATTTCGGAAGTTGGACTATAACATTATGAAACTTTGAATGTTCAAGTTTCACAAATACAGGAGCATCCACTCTCCTAATATCTCCTGAAACGTAAACCCTAATGTACACAAACTTGTTCGGACAAGTCTGAAAATCACTGAAATTGGACTAGCTTCTATTGAATAGATAATGTTCGTACAAATGGAAATTTCGGGTTGTCATAGTAAATAAGTTTGCATAAACAAAGTTCGTTGTCTTCATGAGAAATAAAGTATGTTGCCAAAATGTGTTGCAAAGTTCATATTCTCATGGGAAATAAAGTTTGTTGCTAAAACAAGCACACAAGTTTTGTTGCTAAAATGAGTATACAAGTTTCGTTGATAAAATGAGTATACAAGTTTCATCGCTAAAATGAGTATACAAGTTTCGCTGCTAAAATTCGATGTAAGATTCGTATATGCATGAAGTTTCCATTCATGAGTTCACAACCCAAGCGTAATGACCGAATCGTGCCCTATTGACTAATACATCTATCGCAAACATAGAGAATAAAATGGTAAAATGCACTCAACCAAATCGTGCGAGTGAGGAGTTGTCTACCTTCTGATAGCACTATCCATAATAACCATAGGCTCAAAAGAGTTAATGAGTTGTGTTGAATGATTCAAGGGAGTTAACCACGATACATTCCTCATGAAATAAAGTAACATACACATACATACAAAACATAGCAACCAAGTTTCATACGAGTCAAAATAAATACAACGAACGTAAATAGTTAGGACATGCTTTTCCATCCCAAAACATTTAAAAACCGAAAATAGGGGGAGTCGTGAATACTCACAATGTATTGAGATGATGCAAATAGTGCCTTGAACTACGTTCCACTAGTACTACTACCGATTCCTACAATAATGGTATACGCTAATGAGTCTCTAATCGAAATCTAACATTAGTATACTTACTACAACAATAGAATTATGCCAATATTGTGTTGAAATTTAATATCGTTAAGCTACCAAAAAATTTCTGTGAAATTTAGATTTCTATGACTCAATTTGTTTTATAACAAATTCAAGTGAAATTTCTCATTACTGAAATGCTAAAATTTAACATTTTAGGAGGTGTTCCAATGATTAAATATTTAAAAACTAAGTTAGTTTAGTACTAAAATTTCCCAAACTTTGCTTTTCACTTTTAATTGAAGTCAAAGACCTTAAGATAAATTTTTCTTGAATTTTCGATTTGTCTAGCTATTTTTCACCATTTTGATTTCTTGAATAATCATAAAATCATGAAAAATATTAAAAAGTTAATAAAAGTTACCGAAC